GGGAGGGCAAGAACGAAGCTACGCAAATGTTGTCACAAGGTTTCGGCAAAATAAATACTTGGAGAAGATGGGCTACGCATAGTCCCGCAATAGAGATGGGGCGATAAATGGTTTTACAGTCTGCTATTCTTCACAAGGATATTTTTTGAGCGCATGCCGCCGGATTTCAGGCCGCGCGTGCGTCGTCTCGCTGCTTCTACACTTCCACCTCGCTAGCTGGAGGGACACAAAGTATTTTGAGTGAGACGCAACGACGGTGTGATGCCGGTCAACCTCGAACGACCTCTTTTCTGACGCCAACTTCTGCTTGAAGAGCTGCTTCTGGAGGTCATGGACTCACCCTTCATTCGGACATGCCCCGTGTACCCTCCCCGCCAGATGAGTCACGGAAAGAAGAAGGAAGCGTATTCAGACCGCGGGTTCGGAACAATAGCTATCCATGCCGGCCAAGAGCCAGACCCGGGGACAGGAGCTGTAGTACCTGCTATTTCGTTAGCCACGACATTTTCGCAAGTTAGCCCAGGCGTGAAGCACGGCACAGATTTGCCCAACAGCTTTGGAAAAGGCTTCGAGTATTCCCGCACAGGCAATCCAACAAGAGGCGCCTTCGAGCGGGCCATGGCTGCGGTGGAGCATGGCCAATTTGCCGTGTCATTTGCCTCGGGTTTGGCAGCAACTTCCGCCATTGTCCATTTGCTTGAGACGGGGCAGCATGTGGTCATCGTCGATGACGTGTACGGAGGCACCCAACGATACTTTCGTATGGTAGTCAAGCCCACGTACGACATCGATTTCACTTTCGTGGACTTCAACGACCCCTCAGCGCTTGACGCAGCCTTTCAGCCGGGCAGGACGAGGCTGGTATGGCTGGAGACTCCGACGAACCCTACCCTGAAGGTGTCCGATGTGGCGGCCACGGCGGCCCTGGCCAAGAAGCACGGGGCCCTTTTCGTCGCAGACAACACCTTTCTGTCCCCGTATTTCCAAAACCCCCTCGATCTGGGGGCCGACATGGTCGTGCACAGCGTCACCAAATATATCGGCGGGCATTCGGACGTGGTGGGCGGGGTCGTGGTCACCAACCTCCCGGAGGTGCACGAGAAGCTCCGATTCATCCAGAATTCTGTCGGGGCGGTCCCTTCCCCCTTCGATGCGTACATGGCCCTCCGAGGGCTCAAAACCTTGCACGTTCGCATGGAGGCCGCCGCCCGTAACGCGCTGGCCATCGCCCGGCACTTGGAGCAGCACGCGGGCGTGGCCAGGGTCCTGTACCCCGGCCTGCCCTCCCATCCCCAGTACGCGCTCGCCCAGAAGCAGCAGCACGGATCAGGGGCAATGATCACTTTCTATGTGCGGGGAGCATTACACAACGCGCGCCGTTTTTTGGAGACGCTGCAGGTGTTCATCCTGGCCGAGAGCCTGGGGGCCGTCGAGTCGCTGGCCGAGTCCCCGGCCATCATGACCCACGCTTCCGTGCCCGCCGAGGTCAGGCGCACGCTGGGAATCGACGACACGCTTGTCCGCCTGTCTGTGGGCATCGAGTCCTTGCCGGATTTGATCGAGGACTTGGACAGGGCCTTGGAGGCTGCGGGGGCGGCGACCGCCTAGGGGGGTCGGATGGGACAGAGGCAGTGCCGGGACACAGGAGAGGGAGGGGTGTTTGTGCGGCTTGTGAATGTCATCTTGCATGGAATCAAATAAAACGTTGCATGACGTGCTGTGCTTTACAGGGCTTATGCGTACTTTGCAATGTTACACGCTGAAATCACTATCGTCGTCATCGTCTGAAAAGCTCTCCTCTTCCTCCTCCTCGTCTACATCTGAGCCCTTCCTTGGCTTTGGCCGCTTAAGCGCGCGCAAGGATACCCTTTTCGGGCCCTGTTTCTTCGCATGCATCCCCGTCCTCTTGGGGGCTCCTGCTGAGGACGCACCGCCCTTTCGAGCGGCCCCCTGGCTCTTTCTCTTTGCCTGCCTTACTCCGACTCCGGTGCTACCGCGTTTGCTCACGGTCCTTTTCATCGCCTTCATGCGTTTACCGGCTCTGGCTCCCTCGCCCTCACTCCCCATGAGGCCGTAGTCCGATTCCTCCCCCCCAACAGACTCCTCCTCCTCCTCTCCCCGCCGCAGCACCTTCCCCCCCATCGCCTCGAGCTCGTCGTGATGATGCGTGAGGACGCACAAGGTATCCACCACGTCCTCTACCTTGGCCTCCTCCTCCCCCAAGCTCACGAGGAGCATGGTCGGGCACCGGCAGAGCTCCGCCAGGTACTGATGCCCCTTCAGATCGAGCACCACCCCCCTGTCCTTCTTCACGTGCACCCGTCCTACCGCCCCGCTGTCCCCGGTCAGATCTTGGGCTTTATCGCGCTCGTCCAGCTCTATTAATAGGGAACGGGATCGCACCCCCCCCGCCCCGTGCCGACTTGAGCACCATCAAGGGCAAGGTCGCGCGACCGCCCCCTGCCAGGGAGCCGCGCTTTCGTTTTTTCAAGACGTCACCGCTTTTGAGCTCGCCGTTCGCCGTATCTTGAGACGCCTGCGAAGCTTGAGCCCCCCCGTCGAGGAGGGACGCTTGGGACACGGGCCCCTCGGGCTCTTCTACGTCCTCTCCCACGTGCTTCTCTGACCCCTTCGACGTACCTCCCTTCCTGTCCAGGTCGCCAGTGAATTGTTCGGCTTCTTCACACGTTGCCTTCTCAGATTTTCCATATCCTGCCATCTCCGCCAGGGCCTTCCGTTTTCCCGCCTGCCAGGCATCTATCTCCTCCTTAATGACGTCTCTGAGGTCGAACAAATCCACCGCATCCAAATGCACCTCCAACTCTTCCTGTATCACATCGAGCTGTGCGACGCACGGGCATTCACGTTTTTCGATCGTCGCTACCATGGATGTGCTAGACTTGGCGTTGCTCTTGACACCCTCATTGGCTCCGTTTGTCTGGAAAGGGGGATACAGGGCACGAAATGCTTTCCGCACGTCCACAGCACTTGGAGCTTTAGCACCCGCAGGACTGAGCTGCGACAAAAGTTTAAGTGTTTCCCGGTGTGTGTCAGAAGCTTGATATGTCACATTTGATTTTCCTGTCGACGGGGAGGGGGAATTTGATGCATTTCTGGTGGTATTCGCCGCGAGGAGAGCGGCAGTACTCGTGCCTGCGGCAGTCGCAATTGAGCCCCTTTGCGCAAAGGCTTTTCCTTCTTCTGCATCAGATATATCTAGTAGCTCAGCTAAATAAGGATCATCATCATCTTCGGCCATGGGAATATTCTGGGAAAATTGACAAGGGAAGAGATGTCCAAAAGCCCAAGGCAGAGCAACCTAATTTACATGGTCAGGAGGCAAGTGTGTTCAGTAAGAAATCCAGAGATTCATTCTCATACCGACGGATCAGCACTAGGATCTTATTTTGACGCCTAAGATGCGACTGAGACCCTGCGGCAGCCCAAAGAGGCGTGTAAGCTGGCTCCCTGGGGGTCGCCTCAGTTGAGTAGAGTCTGTTCCCCCCGCCACAGCGCTCAAAGCCTCATCCCTCGCACGCGAGACGCGCCGATGCACCCGAACCTGAGACCCGAAGAAGTGCACGCACGGCCACGCAGGATGGACGGTGGAGGAGCGTCATGACCTGTTATGATAGACTGAAGTCGTCTCATCTCGGGACAATCGAGACCTGAGTCAGCGTTTGCCAGGTCCAACAATCGTCCCCTCCCTCCTTTCCACCTGATTTCATGCGTCCTGCGTCGTATCGCGATTTCGCGCTGTCGAGCATGAGTAGTGGGCGACATCTACGCATAATGTTCTCGTCGACGCTTGTGTAGTATTAGTCAGAGAAAGCGGCGTGGATTTGGCCAGACTTATTGCAATCAAGGGCAGGCATTGATGGAAGCGCTAGCGTTTACGCCAGAGCTTCGGGCTCCAGCTCCAGACTGCTCCGACATATGACTCACCTCCATCTCCTGCACTGCTTTTCTACATAAGTACAGGATGGCGACTCCAATTGGTGGGCCACCTGTGCAAGATATCCCTCCGCCCGGCGGATATCCCAAGGTAAGTGCGAACACACGCAGAGTACCTCCGATGAAGTTACGGTGCTTGAAATATTGCATAACTTACTTCCGTCGGTACTAGGCCTCGGTGCTCCTACGAAGAGCTCTTGAATGTTTTCAGAATCGTGTAATGACTCTTCTTCCCCTCCATCGCTCCCTCCCACACCCCTTATCATTTGCTGCTGCCGGCAATAGATCTTTTACAAGACCCGGCTCGGGAATAGGGGCCCGCCGAGCTGGGCAATATGGACTGGCGCCATCTTGGTGGTGTCCTATGGTTTTGTTCAAGTAGGGCGCACGAACACGGAACGCCGCTTTTGGTCGGACCAAAAGCGGGAGCAGAAACTGGCTCTGGCCCCTTTGCTCCAAGCGGACGAGGACATGATTTGGATTGAGCGGCAAAAGAAAGCCCTGGCCGAGGAGGCGGAGATTATGAAGCACGTCCCGGGGTGGAAGGTGGGCGAAAGTGTATATAAGACGAACGTGACGTGGATCCCCCCATCGGTATCGGCGTACAAGGGGGAGTGAGCGGGCAAGGGGACAGCCTGTTTCGACGGGCTCGGTGGAGGTTCGTGGGGGCGCGCGTCGATGTCCGTGGGGACTGTGGGCCCTGTGTTGCAAGGGTGAATTAGAGAGAGTCCAGGGGGAGGAAATAGTGAAGGAGGCAAGGAGCGTGCGCACGTGGAGGTTGTGCGCCTGCTCGTGCGCGTGCTTCAGGCGGAAAGGAATGAGTAAACTGAAGCGAATTTGGCCACCTTGGGTATCCGTTCTATACAATGCTTTATCTGTTAGTATGGACAGTTCTGTTCTCTTTACACTTCCGGGGCGGATGAATGCCCGATCAGGTCGGTCGTCTTGTTCGGGCTCCCTTGATAGACGTGCACGGGCCCTCCAGCCCTGTTGTCCCCCCCGCGTCCTCCCAACCCCCCGTCTCCCCCTCCCGCCCCCGCCGGCAGTCCCTTTTCAAACATGGCTAGTTCAAGGAGGGCATAGCGCTTGAGCCACAGGGGGAGGGGGCGGTAGATGAGAGGAGGGAGGGGAAGAAGCGGAGAGGTCTGGGTCCGATAGGCCAGGTACCACGGCTCCGATCCGTGCCGCTCGTTGTATCGCTCTTCAGCCAGTGGGCAGCCCGAGAGGAATACGAGAATGAGAAAGGTGAAGATGGGACTGATCACCGCTGCGGCATAGGCGCCCGGCAGGTTGTTAGGGGCGTCGAAGGCACGGGAGGAGGTAAGGAAGAGGCCGAGCCAGAGGGTGATCTCGCCCCAGTAGTTCGGGTGCCGGGACCAGGCCCAGGGCCCCGTGGTGATGATGCCGCGCGCGGAGGCGAGAGGAGCGGTCCGCCTCTGTTCGTGAAAGGCGTCCTTGCTCTGGTCGGCCCAAACTTCAACCAGAAACCCCAGGGTAAAGAGGGTCCATCCGGCGTAATCACGACCACCCAAGTCCACGTCCTGAGGCGCAGAATTGCTCAAAAGGATGGGCATCGTGACTAGAAACACCCAAAAGGCTTGGAATACGAAGAATGAGCCAAAGCGGACAAAGCTTGCTCGCATCTCGTCGAAGCGGGCGTCGTGCCCGCGTCGCACGACTCGAAGCAATAGGTACGAGCCCAATCTCGCACCCCATACTGTTAATAGGACCGTGTTTGTGGTTTGACGGGAATAACTATGTCCTCCCAGACCGTACGATAGCCACCCCAACAACACGAAATTCGAAGCCCCTGATATGTCGGTCAGCTTGTCGAACTGAAAAAGGTAAGCAACTAGAAACGTGAGGAGCTGCAAGGCCGCCGTCACCAGCGCCGAGAGCCACAGGACATCAGGCCATGCCCAAACTGCCATTCCCTTTAAGAATAAAAATGTACAAATGAAAATGGTGAAACTTGCGCTCTTGTATGTTTATAGGAGAAACTTGGTGCCTGGTAGAAACGGGTCCAGTCTTCTGGACAAGCCTAATCGCGAGAGAAGTACTACGTGGTGCGGTGAAAATATTCCAACGCCAACATGCTGTACGCATGTCAAGGATGCAAACACAAAGCTCCTTTCAAGGTGGATTTCGGGACGACCGTGGCTGAAAATTGCCCCGACGGGGAAAAAAAGCGGCGTGGGCGTGACCGCGTATGCCCCAAAGCCTCCTTGAACCGGGGCCGTGGACTCCCTCTCGCTCCGCCCTTGTCGTCACCTGCACCCGGCATTCCCTCGCACCCCCCGCACGGCTTGCGCACGACGGGTCTTGGCGCGAGGATCCTGTGGATGCAACACTTGCCGCAACATGGGATGGCGATGGTGTCGCGTGGTGATGGTTTTGGGTGGTGGGATCTTCCCTCTAAGGAATTTCAAAGGGGAGAATCTGTCATTCCCCTTGCCTCGCTCGTCCGCTGCACGTGTAGAACATGCGCCCCAATGCACTTGTGTATCCATAAGATTCCCACAAACGTGACCACGGCTCCCCACCACAGTTTGCAAGTCGGACAGCATCCACACCCATGCTCATTTGAGTGGCCGGGTATTGTGAGGCACTGGCTTGTCGACTAGTTTTTGCCCCTTCAAGATCGAGCGTCGCTTTTTTGACATGCGTACATCCACATCTGCCGTGCGAAGCTCCGATGCTTCCGAGGAGACTCGCGTAGCACCGGCTGCCCTAAGAAGCCTACAAGCGCACGCACCAAATGAAGATTCATTGCCCGTATCTCCCTTGGGGAGCAGGGCCAATTCAACAATGCCCTCTTCGGCTGCGAATGATCATCATTCGTGCCCCCCCGCCCCGTCCGCCTCGGCACCCCTATCCACCGTCAACCACCTGGAAACGTTGCGCGGGCGAGGTAATTGCAGTACATGTACGACTTGTAGCGTCATGAGCAGCGATCTGAGCATCAACAGCATGGCGAGTGATGACGATGGGGCTCAAGACGAGGAGGACGACGAGGAATTGGCAGGCGGGAATGGTGGTACAGAGGAAGATGCCAAACATAAGTTCCGTTTGAAGGTCCTAAATTTCAATGTGTTTGCAGGCAGCCCTATCCCAATGTGTTTCCAAAGCGTGACTCCCAAGACTGCATCCCTGGAGGGCTCCGAGCGCCTCAAGCTCCAGGTGGAGCGCATCCGGGCCCTGGGGCCGGACATTATCTGCTTGCAGGAGGCCTGCTCGGACGGCGTGGAGAGGTGCGTGGGGACGTGCCAGGGGGTGGCTATGCTCCCGTGATGTGTGTGTGCCATTCGTTGAACCCGGAAGTGATGTTTCTGACCTCGCGTACCCCACCCTGCCACGTGCTTCCCATCCCCAGATACTACCGCGAGGCGTTTGCCGACTTGTACGACAGCTTCTTCGAGGAGCACCCCCCCGAAACGCTCGGCAAGCTGACCCTGGGTTTTGTCTACCTGGTGATGGCCACGGTCCTGGCCTTTTGTTTCCATTGCGTGCTAGATTTATGGGCCTCGTCTCTGACGCTAATCATCCCCTTCGGTCCATCTGTCTCTTCTACCTTTGCGCTCCCCTCCCTTTTCTCCTCGTTCAAGCCTCACCACTGGTCGCGAGATGATCCCTACGACTCAACACGGCTTTTGCTGGTACTCGCGCTCGTGGGGAAGGGTTTGGGAGTGGCGGTCTGGTCCATGCGTAAGACCTGCCTGGTGGGGTTTCTCCAGGGCCAGGTGAAGGCGTCCACCGTCATTCTCTGGCGGCGAGATCGCTTCTCGGTGGTGTACAACAAGGACCCCGTCACTCAAGCCTTGGTCCCCGCCGAGATGCGGACCACATTCTTCCAGGAGCAACGCGGGGACTGGTTGAACCTTGTCCGGCCCCGGGGGTATCTCACTGCCCAGCTCTTGTTTCACGGGATGCCCTTGTACATCGTGAACACACACCTGAACCTCGGACAGCAAGTCTTCCGACGGCGACAGGTGGAAGAGCTGACGCAGCATTGCAAGAGCCTCTCCCAGGTGGGCTCTGTCGTGCTGTGCGGAGACTTCAACGTGACCCCGGAGAGCGAAGAAATCCAGCTCTTGTCCAAACAGGCAGGCGTCAAAGATGCGCTGCTGGAGAAGGGATGTTCTGAGCCAACTTGGTCGAGCAGGAATCCGCTAACGCACGGTGTACTGCTTGAAGAGGACCATCGTTGCGATTTTATTTTTTACAAGGGCTTGGCGCGGCAGCACCGCATGGTGAATCGGCGCTGTCGACTCGACGTCCCGTTCTGGGGAAATACCTGGCTAAGTGACCATTTTGGGATCGTGCTTGATATGATTTTGGAGCCTGTACTGGCTTAACTTTATGTTGGGTCGCAACGCGTGCATCGGGGACGCGATGAAGGGCTACTCGAGAGATTCAACTGTTCTCTGTTCCCCTGCACCTGTCTTTTTTTCTTAATAAATTGTGGATCGGAATGGTAGGCAAGCACTAGGCATCGGCCGTGGGAACGTGTCCTTTGTTGGACTATAGTATCAGAAATAGAAATCACAGAAGAGAATAGCAAAAATGAGTAAAATGTACGTGTACCCGAATGGGAACATGACTAGTGGTGTGGAAAGTTTGGGCGCCTTTCGAAACTTAAAAAATAAATCAAATGCAGATGACAATCTCTGTACGTGCTTTTTTTGAGGGATATTTTTGTGACGTGCCACTGTTATTCTGCGTTCTTTTCATATTCTGGGGGTATCCCCCTGGCTGCGGTGACTGTTGCAGGCGAGTCGTCGTGCCCTGGGCGACCAGGAGGTTTGAGGGGGGGGGGAGGTGGACAAAGTACGGTGTTGAACAATAAGCTGAGCGACTCATTTCACCTTCACGTACTCTGTATATGGTGTTAAGCTTCACTCGTGAGGCATAGACTGGAGGATGTGGAGGCCCGGGGCTCGCAAGCCGGGACGGCCCTCTGCAGGCGGGAAGGCGGCTGGGAGCGCTCCGGCGGCAGAAGTATCTCCCACACCCACCAATTCCGCTCCCAAGGGAAGAATATTGAGCGCTTCGACCTTGGGTATGAAATTCATGCAAAAGCGTATGCAAAAGGATGCCGAAATGAAGCAGCAGGCAGAGCAGGCCATGGCAGCCAAAGCTGCGAAATGGACACTGGAGCATGAAACACGGCAAGCGGAGAAAGGCGCGTCTACAAAGGCACAGGACAAAAACACCATTTCGCAAACATTGCAACCAGAGCAGAAGCAGAGCAGTGATTCGTTACAGTTAAAAAGGTCACGTACGATGGTTTTTGAAAACGAGGAAACGGATCCGAGAACTCAAGTCCTGGGGCGACGGGCATTCGGGGGGTTCAATGAAGTGGTGGCCAGAATGTTTGAGCAGAACCTTCAATTACTGGGGTTGCGCAAAGGAAAGCGGAGACGTGGAGATGACGACGCAGACGAGAAAGAGGTGAATGAACACGAGATGGTGGAGCGCTACCGGCGGCACGGCAATCTACCTGTCAAGCGAGACAGTAACAAAGGCTCTGAGGCATCCAGGGGCGGCGGGGGGAAGAGGGGGCGATACGCTTACCAGCAGCCGAAACAGAAAATGCGGGGTAGCTAAAGATGTATGGATTCGCATTGTAGCGTGTTGAATACAAGGTGGCAAGCGGAGTGTAAATGACTTTGAGTAAATAGCGAAGAGAAAAGCAATCAATTATGTTCACATGTACCGACACTCTTTTACAGCTTATCATTGGATTTCTTTTTATTTTAAGGCGTATTCTTCAATGCCATACAACAGCAAGTTACTCTGATCCTCAAACACGAGTCTTCCGAAGGCCAGCCGCCTATCCAGTCCTCGCCCCTCCTTCTCAGCTCACAACATGCTCGCCGCAGCACCTCCGCTGAGGTGCGAACGTAAATAAATCTGACCCAGAGCTTCATTGCAGTCGCGTCCGTACACCATTTCCAACGAAAGAGCGTTTCGCGAGCATTTTAGACAACGTTGTCGGCATCCCCGTCTGCTATGACGCCTTTCCCGTTACCCACTATGAAACAGCGTGCGCACATGCCTCGAAAGCGGCCTTACTAAACATTCCGGCGACATCAGAAATCATGCTCTCGCCACCATCTATTTCTCCCTCGACTGTACATGGATTGATACTCCTCCCGCCCACCCTGGCCTGTGAGCTTCCCCACATTCACGTAGCCCGCCTGGCTCTCGGCCCTCGCTTTCGCACCATCACTCGCTCCCGCTAGGACAGGGTCTAGCCATCTTGCCCGGCACCAGACGCAGGAGCGTGGCAGCCCCTCGGAGATCTTCACTCCATTCCAGGTCCGGAAGCAGAGCGCGTGTGTGGGCTTGTGGCAGGCATAGCAGATCACCACCTCCTCCGGCTTCTGTGTGTCGAACTGTTCTAAACAGACGGGACATTCGTCTTCCCGGGCCAAATCCAGACATAGATTCCCCGTTTGCTGTCCTTTGTCCTTCTTCGCCCCCGCGTCTCCGGCCGCAGCCTCATCCACCAAGGCCGTGTAAGCCGCGCGAGCTTTCGCGTCGACCAAGACATCGCCCCACGACTTCTCATCCTCCTCGCCTCCTTTGCCGGGTAAGCGAGCAAACATGCGAGTCAGCTCGTCTTGCAGCAGGCCTTTTTGCGGGAGCAGCGTGTCGTTTAAGGCGAGCCGGAGGACCTTAAGATAGACGAGGAGGATGTGCTTGCAAACGACCCCGGCTTGACCGGGGATGGTGTGGCGCACAAAATCGGGGCAATCGCATGTAGGGATGCGACAAATATCTACATGATAGACGTTACCTGTATTGTGAATGACTTATTTTGGTCACAACTAGCTGAATAAAATTCACCCTCGCTCCTGCATATGCTCGTATTCTCAACTTTCAAGATCTCACCTGTAGTCCCTGACACATGAAACCGACGGTGTAGGTTCCCC